TCATGCACTGACCACCTCTCCGCATTTTCCAACCAGTCCCAGAGTCGGCAAATAATGCACGACGTGGAATTCTCTGGGACGACATTCGTAGAACATGTCCAAGCCCCCGAAGTCGATGTTTAAAGATGGTGACACCAATTGAATTATCATCTCTGTGCCCAAACACATGATGCCGAACCTCTGCATTACTGACATGGTGTTGCCACTGAATGTCAGCAATCCTTCGGAGACAACGATGATCAAACACAGAGTCGTCTCACATCTTCAACTCAGAGAGGCCAGGTTTCACAAGCATAGAGCAGAACTGCTCTCACCGACGCGTTGTGGATCCGACCTGTTACAGCCAGACTGACATCACAAAGGCTTCGAAGATGGCCCAGATTGTCAAAAGCCGCTCTGGCTTTCACTACACGTGTATTGATCTCATCACTCACATCACCATCAGCACTTATGCAGCTGCCTAGATACACAAACTTTTCGACTACTTCTATTTCCCCACCAGCCAGGGTGAGTACAGGATTAGAATCCTGCCAGTCTTGTAGAAGTACTTTGCACTTCGAAGGTGCAAAGCACATACCATACCTACGGACACTGATTGCCAACTGATTAAGTGCGGATTGCATGCCTTGGGCATTATCGCACAGTAAGACAATATCGTCCGCATACTCAAGGTCGAGAAGTCTTTCTCCAGGCAACAGATCCACACCACCATTACTTACATTCATCAGAGCTGTTTCCAGAATGTCGTCGATGGTAAAGTTGAAGAGGAATGGTGAGATTGGGCAACCCTGCCTAACTTCACTACTCGAATGGAACAATGGAGAGAGGTGGTTGTATGCCCTCACTCTGCCTGAGGTGTTTTTATATACAGCTTTTAGGATGTTAATAAACTTCTCAGGCACACCCTTCTTCAATAGACAATCCCAGAGAACAGTCCTGTCCAACGAATCGAAGGCAGCCCTGATGTCAAGAAACACTACGATTGTTGGCCTTTGATAAGTATGGCGATGTTCTAACATTTGGCGGAGGGTGAAGATATGATCAATACATCCTCGACCAGAACGAAACCCAGCCTGCTCCTCGCGAGTCAATCTTTCTCGGGTTTTGAACAACCTACGAAGTATGACGGAAGCCAATAGCTTGGACGCAATCGGAAGTAAACTTATCCCCCGATAGTTGTTTCAGGAACGACGTGAACCCTTTTTAAAGATAGGGACAACTATCGACTCATTCCATGACGTTGGTACACTCTCTAATTCCCAAACCTTTGTAAACAACGTCGTCAATTCCTTAGTCAAAAAGTCACCACCATCTTCAAAAAGAGCCGGAGGTAAGTCATCTGGGCCAGGTGATTTGTAACGCTTCAAGAGTTCGAGTTCCTTGCGGACTTCCTCCTCGTTTGGTGGATCAGTCGTCACCGGCCATGGAGGGCAGGACAGTCTGACCGATGTTGCCGGGGCAGCAGGCCAGTTGAACTGCCCTTCGAAAAATTCTGCCCATCGTCCAAGACGTCGATGGATGTCAGTGATTGGCATCCCATCATCCTCGCAGATTGTTTCGCTCACACCAGACTTCTTGCTGCCAGTGGCTCGGATGAGCTGGAAGAGCTTCCGGTAGTTACCAGATGCAGCTGCTGCTTCCAGCTCATTAGCACGCTCCGACCACTAGGCTTCTCGGTCCTTACGCAAGCTTTGCCCAATTTCCTTACGTAACATCCTTACATTTTGTAATAAATCACTAGCACACACAGGACTGGAAAACCTGAACATTAGGTTAATATTCCTTAATATAGTACGAGCCCCCAAATCCCCTGGTATGGCCGAGAGTGGGGTGGGCCCGCTCTCCCTCTTGAAATGCTCTCACAAGGCCACGCGTATACAACCTCTGCTAGGGAAGTCCTACTCACTGCCTTCTCGTGGCATTACTGTTGTTTACGAAAATGAGAGGACGAAAAGCGAATGTTCGGCGCTTTAACCGGATTCCAAACCAATGGTGCACATGGGCTCCAGTATCCTGAAGGAACAAATGGCATATGAACCAATCGTTCGTCACCTGCTACCATGGGAATGCATCTCTTCACGATTCTCCATCGCCTTGTGGATCAGACCTTTAGGTCAAAGGCTCGGGGTGTGGCCCTCTAAGAAAACCACCCGCTTTGGTCTGGGCACCCGGGCAGTATCACGGCCCACACACACACACACACACAAATATGATGTGCCGCATATATATTTGGTGCCCTTTTGTACCAATATTTATATGTTGAAATAAATAAATATAGTACGAAGTATAACTGACTCATCTATTTTACGATCAGTTATCAGAGCTTACTTCAGTACAATAGATAGCCTTTAGGTGTGAGGTGTATTTCCGAGCGGCCTTTCAACAAATGATGGATAACAATAGACGTAACTCAAGTCCACAAAACGTATTAATTTACGAGCGCTAAATAAATCATTCGATTTGTGTAAGGGTGGTTTTCTTAGGGGGGCCACACCCTTAAAGGTCTGATCTACAAGGCAGTGGAGCGACGTTAATAGATGCAGTCCCATGGTAGCCGATGACCAACAATTGGTTCACACGCCAATTGTTCCTTCAGGATACTGGTTCTCATGTGTATCATTGGTTTGGAGTCAGGGTTCTCCAACTCCCCTGGGTAGACTCTCCGTGTCCACTAACCCGGTTGAAGCACCGGACATTCGCTTGTCGTCCTCTGAATTTTGTAAACAACACCCCGCTGCGCGGAAGAGAATCGAATGGTCCATGTGGAGCATATCTACTTCGTGCCTCCTTGTACCAATGTTTATGTGTTTAAATAAATAAATAAATTTACGATCGCTATATTCTGAACAAAAGCTTTAGTCGTTTTGTTATTATCAACCAATACAATCATCTAATAGTAAATACAATGAAAAGGTTCTGCAACGTATGTTCAGGCACAGCGACGATAATCCAATTAGTGTCACTATTTTGAAACATTGAATTCAGTGGCTTGGATATGTATTACGGATGTCGTACCAGAGAATTCCACATCATTGGTTCTTCACGACTCGCTGGTTGAGGTCCTACAGATGGTGCGACAGTGGCTGGAGACGTTATCAGACATGACTCAAAATAAAGCCAGTTGCGATTCCGCTGTAACTCTTTTTTTACTTTCATCACAAAAATAGACGTAACTTCTTTGATTTATAGTTCTTTTCGGTTACATTTTTGCCAACTGAACTGTTTCTCTGATTATTATTATTCTTATTCCACTCTCATACACCAATTTCTGTTTGTTGTTTTATTATACGCACTTTACATTATCTCTCCATGGCCTCATTGTTATTGTGTGGCGCATATGTATTTGGTGCCCCTTTGTACCAATGTTTGTGTTCACATAAATAAATAATAAACTCCTTAGTTGAATTCCTAGAGATGAGGCAACACAGTGGCCTGAGATGTTGTCAGACGTGGTTCAGAATGGAAGCCACTGGCGGCCCTGATGTGATTTCCCCTTACTTTCCTCATATGAGAGAAACTTTCACTGGAAGGACCCTTTCTAGTTGTATTTTCTTTAGCTGAACTGCTTCTTCCACTGCTTTTTTCTTTATCATACTCACTTTCATTTAACTATCTCTCTACAATCTTACTTTTATTGTGACGCATTCATATAGTGGTGTCCAATATTTGATTTCAAATAAATAAAAAGCGTTGTGAAAAGCTTTTCCTATATCAAGAACCTAGAAATGAAAGCAGATTTTTATTGATATGTTCAGTGAAAATCCATGCAAGGAAGAAACCTGAACTATAGGTAGGTAGTATCTCTGGAAAAAGTAATGTTTTGTGGGAAACATCTCACACCAGCTACACTTTAGCAAGGTCAGCAGTATGAAACGTCGTTTCTTACCTAACTACTTTTTGATTAATCTGTGTGGTAGAACCGGTAAACTTTATACGTGGAAATACGGCAGGCCTTAAAATACGAGACTGATTAAACAAGCTAACATAATCTAATCTTTTTTGGAGGGGTTGTGGGGGTTGTAAAACTTCAGTCAATTCACGATATTCAATACACGCAGATAATTAAATCACGACCAATGTAATTTAAAACTACGATGAAAAGCACGATATATTGTCTCTTAAATCGTTGCATTATAGCCGAATTATTTAATACCTTATTTCTTACTCACTGTTAGGTAAATCAATGTAACAGTTGAATTGTGTGCTGATCTAGGTTTCTCTAGAAATAAGGGAGTTGATAAACCAGAGCGACCAATTAGTGTCCAACATGCTAATCATTTGTTACAAACGAAGATTATAAAATTATCATTACGCCCCTATCTAGCGATTGAAAAGAATTAAAATCAATTTAGATAGATAAAGCCGATATATGTATGGAGTAACATATTCTTTTTCATCACAATCTGAACAAACCACACATAAAAGACAGTTCCTTAAAGCTACTTACATGATGACTACAACTTATACATCTACACTGCTTGATTTCAACTGACACTATAAGCAAAAACACATACATTCACTGATTTCACGGTGGAACTATAATTTATGGACGACCGCTGAGCGATGCTAAAAAGACCTTGAGAATGTCCACCTACATACTACGGCTAAATGAGGGTTATAAACCAGTGTGAGGAACTAAAATTAATATTCTAAATTTATAGTTAGGGTAAGTAAATAGATCTATGGTTTCCATTACAAACTTACGTTAACTATGATGCTAAGAATATTTAGCCAAAATTCAAGACCTGTCGTCGTAAATCTGACTGGTTAGTCCATAAATTATAGTCTCACAAGCTGTGGTAAACTATGGCTATGCCGTAACTGTTTTTTTTTCTATTGCCTATAATGCAGATTATGGCTTTTCTGGCAAGTGCCTCTAGTCAGCAATATAATAAAATAATTCATAAGCATCGAAATCGTGCTAAAATGCATAAATTTGCCTTGAAGATGTAATACGATGAAACATCGGGAGAAAAAATATAAGGGAACTAGTAACTAACTTCAGGTTTACAGCTCTCTTCAATCCATTTTATCACTGATGCTGAGAGGTCAGTAAAAGAATTGAATACAATATAATTGTCGAATGAACGGAACATGGTGTCAAAAAACACTCGAAACACTTCTAGTTTTGTATCATCTGGAATCGGCTCGACTGATCTACATTCGTAATTCGGACTGTTTTGAACTATTTTCTCATAATTCCTGAATTTAAGAAACAACTTCGTTGAAGACTTACAAGCATAGTATTCGAAGAGCTTTAACCTCCTTTTCTAGACTTTCGACTTCTGACAATTTCTGGTGCTTTTGCCTTCCAAGCCTTTCAATCATATAGATAGCTGTAATGGTTGGACGAATATACTACTTTCCACTACCTTTATGTAATATGCTTGATTTACTCATCCTAACAGACGGAGAAGGTGATTCGTTTTTCATTGGATGGACGAGCTCTAATAACCCTTCAAAACCCCTCTAAATTAGGCATGGAAACTATAGTAGTACAACCAACTTTGATAGCATTTCGACGACGCTGCTCCGCTTCAGTATGCAGCTTACGCCTGCGTTCTCTAATGCCATAACTCTCCACAGTTGAGTAGTTTTCATCCTCCAGGTCTGATTCATATAAAGTTTTAACACCTGTATTATGTGATAAGCTGCTTTCTGCGTTCAGCGCCATCTGCTAGCGTCCGGACAACAACCCGAAAGATCTAGCGCAATACTTGACCTTCCCTCTGAACTCGAAATTCAAACTCCAAACTCCGATAGACGAATTAGAAAACTATCTTTATGGAGCTGCTTAAAAAATAGAGTTGTCACGTTTCCTAAAACAACGGAAATATAGGGGAAAATATCAAGAAGATAATTGTTACTTTTAAAATACAGAAAGTCAGAAAATTTAATAGTGTTTATAAGACTGGTAAAATAATATAATTTCTTATTTTATGTGACACTTTATAAGCACCTGTCTAAGAATGTCAGGTTTTCCATTGAATTACATGAAGTTTGCATGTCAGATATTATTTAATTTTCGTTGTTGCAGTGCCGCGTGATATTTGTGGAGATAGAATTAACATACTTTTGGTCCACCACATATTCAGATATTCATATCTTGACAACGCCTTTACTGTTAACACCTTTATGGTCGAGGGATAGCAACACATTCAAAACAGGATTCAAATGGTTCAAATCGTTGTGGACGGAATAGAAGAAACATTCGCTTAACAGGCTTCCGTGTCTAGTAGCAGGGGATCACCAAATCCTCCAGGTAGGAACCTAGGTATGTTAACAATAAAAGAGGAAAAAGAAATTGGTAAATCATAGTATGATACTATCCTTAGACCTTAAGAATAGATCAAGTTGCCTCTTAAAGAACTCCTGGGAAGTAGCTTGGACTAGCTCGGCCGGCAGCGAACTCAAGCACTTGACAACTCTTAAGAAGTAGAAGTTGTGTCCACAGTCCATTCTGCTATGTTATGTCTCCAGTTTCTGGGTATTACCCCTTAGGTTAGTATTGGAACTAAGCTTAAGTAGGTGTTTGAAAGGATGTCCAGAAGTGTTAAGGATACTATAAGCCATCAGAAGGTCACCTCTAAGACGTCTATACTCTAATGGGTAAAGGTTAAGTGAATGAAGGCGCTCTTCATAAGGTTTAAATTTGAGTCCTCGAACTGATTTCGTGGCTCGCCGTTGAATACGCTCCAGAGTTTCCTTATCCTTTTGGAGTGAGGGAGGAAATACTGTGTTTCCGTACTGTAAATGGGGACGGATAAAACTATTGAAGATTATATGGAAAGTTCTTCCGTCAAACTAGCCAAAAATGCGCTTCAATGTTAACAGTGCAAGGTTTGCTCGGAAGGCATTTTTGTCACAGCTAGCATAAGACTTTAAATCGTAGGGTACCAAGACTCCTAAATATTTTTCGACTTGGGATACTACTAGAGATGAGTTTCCTAAGTTGTAACTGTAGTCTGAAACATGTCGCAGATGAACTACTTTACACTTTGAAGTGCTAAAGGTAAGTCCGTTATCGTCTGCCCAACTTTGAAGTCGAATTAGATCCTCGTGAAGTGCCTGTATATCGTCTTGGTTGCGTATCTCTCTCCAAAGTTTCATGTCATCGGCAAAAAAGTAATAAATCTGACATTACCTGTTGAGGAAAATCATTTATGCAGATCAAAAAGAGAAGAGGTCCTGGTACTGAGCCCTGGGGGACCCCACTAGGACATTCCATAGCCTGAAATAAAGTGAAATTAACCCTGACCTTAAAATGTTGATTTTTCAGGTATGAAGTGAGCCAATCGATTAGAGGTGGTCTGATACCCAATCATTTGAGCTTATTGATAAGACACAAGTGTTTAATTTTATCAAAAGCTTTTGAGAAATCTAGGTAGATGATATCAACCTTCCCCTTGTGATCAAGGATGCTTGTCCATCTGTCCACCGCAGTCAGCAGGTTGGTTATACAAGAGTAAACCTTCCTGAAACCATACTGTTGGGGTATCAAGGAATTTAAGGACTCCATGATTTTTGCAGGTATTGGGAGAAGAGCTACCGGTTGGTAACTTGAAGGTTCACTGCGTCGACTTCCTTTGAAAGTTGGTGTGATGTGAGCCAGCCTCCAATTTTCCGGTAGTTTTCCTCGACTTAGTGAGTGAGAGAACATCACGCAAAGCGGCGTTGCCAGGATTGAGGCTGCTTCCCTCAGTATGGCGGAATGGACCATGTCCGGGCAAGGAGAAGTGTCTAAGCTTAAATGCTGTAGTTTACGGAGCACCAAGTCAGCGCTTAGGTTCACTTTGGAAAGTCCTGTGGAATTGCAGATGGAACTGTCATCAGTATAGTTGATGTCGGTCGGCTGAAATGTCTGGGAGTAATGTTCAGCTAGAAGATTAGCGGCGTCGCCATCGTTGTTGGTCGGGCCGTTAAGACCTGCCAGTTGGGAAACTTCAGTTTTGACTTGACGAAGAGAGTCTGCATAACGCAATAAGCTTTTAGGATTAGAGGCAAATTTGTCCATAAGCTTTATCTGGTATTGAAGTCTATCATCTCTTATAGCCTTCGTGCATATGTTCCTTATATGTATATATTGCCTGTACGTTCCGTTGTTGTCAGTTCGTTTGTACTCAGCCCAACAGTGCCTTTTTCGGTTTAGCAGGCGAAGAGTGCGGTTCCTGATGATTGTGGGTTGCCGATAGCTATGGGGGACCGTTTCAGGAACTGAATGGTTTGTAGCCCATATGAGCGTGTGCAGTAAGAAGTCCCAATGAGCATCCACATCGAGTTGAGGGTGAACATTCCAATTCACCTGTCGTAGATAGTCCTGTAGAGCTGACAGATTTAACCGTTTGAAATTTCATTGCATGTTGTTGGTGGGATATCTTAGCTCAGTTTTGCTGACGAAACTGAAAGCTATAACGGCGTGATCGCTTTTTCCCAGGGGAGCCATTATTGAGAGGTTGTTAACTAAAAATTCTTCGTTTGTAAATACACAGTCTAAGCTCGATGGTGTCTGAGTGTTTCTCCAACGAGTTACCGACTTTACATTTTCGTATAATCCGAAGTCCTCAGTGAGGTTGAAGAACCGTGCTTCAGTTGAGTTTTCACCTCCAATATACGTATGTTCCGCGAAGTTGACTCTAGGGAGATTGAAGTCCCCTAGAATCAGGATATGAGTGAAACTGAGTAGAGCGGGATAGTCCTTCCAGCATACGACTGTCATTCTCGATGTCAGCAGTGGGCTTCCTATATATGACACCAACTAGACACCTCGAAGTAGTAGACAATCTTACAGAGCACCATTTGGATTTCTCAAGATAGTTAAACTCGAGGTTATGAACTTGGTGCACCTTCAAACAAGATCGTATGTATATGACCACTCCACCCCCAATTCTTGATTTTCTGTCGTTGTGAAACAAAGACATCCCAGGTACTGCTAACTCCTGGTCCAAGAACTGAAAAGATATCCAAGTTCAAGATATTCCTATTAGATTATCCTTATTAGTATTGCTAAGTTCACTTACCTCATCCATTTTATTTGATAGACTCGCGTCGTTCATGTATAAGCAGTTTATGCTTTCAATTCGAAACGCGTGAGCTTCTTGCTGTTTGTCTGTTTGAGCCTTACGTGAATGGACAGGTAGCCTACCTACATAAGCTTTGCCGAGTTGATAGGCCCTGTCAATTACACGTTTTTTTATCGTCGAGACAGTCCACAAGTGGAGTGGTCAGCTCCAAGTTGCCTTTGTGCTTGGTCCTAGCTTCATATGGCCTATCCGGGTACATGTGGATTCCAGCTGGCAACCGATGTCTGTTGGCACGAAATGGCTGTAAAGTTTCAGCCGCCATATGGGAAGATGGGAAAGTTATCTTCATTAACTGGGGGTCTGGAATCACCGTCCTTCTTGGCTAGTCTCATCACATGTTGAGTCAGCGTGTTTTTCAGCCTCTAGGACTGTTTGATGAATTTTTATTCCCTAATATCAGAGTTTGCTTGACTAGAGTTTGTGTTTTCCGGTACACCTTGCGCAAATTATATTAAACTAGCGAGACTCTCTAGGGATGTTCTTGGTCCTTTTTAGCTCTTTTAACGTGGGCCCAATCACCTACAGAGTTTTTTGGGACCACTGTCGCATTCAAGGACCCTGAGCTGGGAGACTCGAGTTTGCTGAAGGAGTCCATCACCATCGACGTAATGAGGGTGTTGAGTTTCAACATGTCACCATTTGTGCTAACGCATGCTCCATCGATAGTAGACCTGTTCTTGTTTTCGTTGCACGCTCTTATTTGTTTATCCGTTTTTGTGACTGTCTTTTCCCAAGTTTCCTGACAACCTACTCTGCAGATCTGTCAGTAGGACAACGATATTACTCAGCAAGACTACAGCATCCGTGCTGCACGTAACACAGAAGTGAAGTTCGAAGATAAACTCGGGAAGTTACCGATATGTTGAGTAACGTTTGATCTAAGCTGGGTATTATACGCAAGGGATGTGTAGAACGGCTTACCCACTCGTGATGTGATATGGATGTGTGACCAAGCGCCTTGTAAGAATAGTTAACATATACTTATTTTGTACGTAGTTTTTGTTGTTTGCACTTTTTATTGATTCTCATAATATGTACAACTACCATTATTGGCTGTAAGAGTATTGTTTCAAAAAAGTGACCTGGTTACTTGCTGTCAACGTTGACAGATCTCAGTAATCTCCTCATTACATGTTATACATGGGTACACAGCTCGATTGGTAGAAAATATTTTTGAAATCAATATCAACCCACAATTTTGAGTGACAAGGCCGAAAGGAACTACAACACGCCTACTCTTAAAAATTTAAGTAATGTCAGTATATTTTTATATAATTTATAGTTAGTATGTTGACACAATAATTTTCTTCATGATAACTTTATCATTATTTTTGGACTTCAGGTATTTTGGTTCACTGAGATCTTCAGCTGCTGTGTGTTCACTAAAACTAAGGAGGTCATCATCAGTGCTAAAGACTTATATAACTATATATGTTGTGGACTTATTTACTGTTGCACCATTCTTCCTGTGGCAGTTTAAACCAGTTGACTCTAGTTATGACTTTAAATTATCTCAATCTGGGGCTTGTAAGGTTTTTGATTACTGTCGACAACTTCCCCTTAAAATGTTAGTGCATTTCATGAGCTTTCTGGGTCATCGTTTCGCTTTTTCTTCTGTTCTCTTTTCTAGTCCTCCCTGGTTACACTACTCCGT